CGGATCCATTTTTTTTTTTGTCATCGGAAGCCACAATCCAGGATGCTTGGTCCGACACACGTTCTTGTGCTCGTCGGCCACGTCTTTTACCGGAAGAGAACTAATATCTCCAAGCTCCCGTCGGTGAACAGGATTACCGGATTTTTTCGCTTAAGGAAGTTCAAGATTGTCTTGCATCGTTCGACTCGTAGCTCGCGGATGCGATTGGTAATCATGTGAGTTTTTTTTCCGTGCCCTCGACTTCGCCCCGCAATCTTCTTTACAATCTTCCGTGCCGTAAAGTCACTGATCCCGTGTTCCTTTGCCATTTTCCTTATTGAACGCACTGGATTCATCCCTATCTTCCTTTTAATAGCAGACGACCTGTGGCCACCTTCGCGGATAGTTGTTCTTTCTTTTCTCGGTCTAAAACCCTTTTGACGGTCCACCGTGACACTCCCACGGCGATTGAAATGTCTTTTTGCGACATTTGCGCGTGGGACAAATCACGAATACGCTGCCACTTTGTCATGATGCAACTGTCAAACTAAGTAAATCATTTTCTTTTATACACAGCCTACTACGGTATGAGCTATAGGTTACGTGCATGCAAAGAAAACCAAGAAATTGTATGCACAGGTGAAACGGGAACCTTATTTGTACGATGGTGCAAACATTATCACGCATACGGTAAGTGAGTTCGACAACTCTTGATGTACATGTACACTAGAGTGCATAATTTTGAAAAAAAAAGTGATGAATTTCTGATGGGTCACCCTCCAGTTCAATTCATAGACCCAAAATATGTGCAAAAAATGGTTAAGATTGATGAAGGCTTAGAGGTCACACAAATGATTTGAAATTTTTATGGGACTATGGAAGAATTTCAAAAATCACTTAAAAGCCGACTAAAAGTAAATTGGTACGCCCCTCGCGCGCCGCTAGCACGCCTCTAGTGTTGGGAATCGAAGATCTTTGACAGCAGTTTTTTTACACTTTTATAGAGAACAACTGGTGCAATTTTATCAAACGCAATTTTATCAGAACGTCAAATGGAACTCGAAAGAAGAAAAAAATTGTACACAAACACCTGGAAAACTCGAAGCGTTCCGGTTCCAAGCTGGCTAAAGTGCTGAAGATCCCAAAAGCAACAGTTTGTCGAGTGCTCAAAATCTACAAGGGAACCCTGACTGTGGAAAGGAATCAGCGGACCTACGAAAAAACGAACCAGGGATCGTCAGATGCGCAGCCAGGTGTTGAGGTGCGTTTAAGCCAACCCAGGTCTTTCGATTCAAGATGTAGCCAAAAGGTACAACGCCAACTTTCAAACGGTGCGGCGCATCCTTGCCAGGGAAGGATACAAACATCCGAACTGACACATGAAGCAGAATTCCGCAAGGAAGCCTGTTGGGCCCTTTGCTTTACAGCATCTACACATCTGACATTCCTCCCCTCGTAGATGGTTGCGTGTTCTTTCTGTTCGCAGGTGATGCCGCAATAACTGTCAAGGGTAGGATGCCTCGTGAAATAACAAACAAGCTCCAACGAAGCCTTCACGCCTTTGCTGATTATGCCACCACGTGAAAAAATCAAAACCAATACCTCCAAAACACAATCATGTTCCTCCATCGGCAATCACCCAAACTAAAATCGGCTCCCTCTTGTACTGTAATCGTGGATGGCACAAGGGTTGAGTGGTCTGCCGAAGTAACCTATCTCGGGATGTTTTTTGACAAAAAGCTCCTATTCCGATCGCATGTGGAGAAAACCGTAGTCAAGTATTCCGCCTTGGTTAGGTGTCTGTATCCGCTGATTTGCCGACGATCCCGCCTCTCAAGGGTGAACAAACTGGTTGTCTACAAACAAATTATAGCACCTGCAATCCTCAACGCAGCTCCGGTGTGCACAGACTCACAGGAACAAAATCCAGGTCGCTCAGAACAGAGTGCTTAGAATGATCCTTGATCGTCCCTTTGACACAGGAATTTCAGACCTTCACCAAGAGGCGAACGTTCCAAAAATAGATTTCAAAATTGATGACATTAAGACTAGGTTTGTGCAGAAATGCTATACATCAGAACATGCCTTGATAAGCAATTTGCATATAGTAGGCAGGTGTATATAGTAGTTATAGGTTAGTTGTAGTTGTAAATAGCAGTTTTAAGTAGTCTGCTTTTTCAAATTTAACAAACCAATCCCACCAAGATGGTCATTCTCTAAAAAGGCCTGATAGTACTGAACAATCCTGTTGAGGGGGGAGTACACTTTGATTTTTCAAAAAAATGCATTTTTTGTTTGGCTTAAAATGTTCCTTGGGATGTATACTTTAATTTATAAAAGACTCCAAGTCCGCCAGAATATTCCATACCGCTTTACGAAGCGATTACCTTAAACATGTACCGGCGCGCTGAGAGAGCAATTTTCTCTCGGGGTTTTTCAAACTGGCGTGAGAAATAACTCTAACCAGTTATCATCAAATTTGGATATCGCCTAGGTTTTCTTGTTCAGAATTAAATTCTGCTTAGGAATACGTATCCACATTTTCGATTTTGTCAAAAATGGATTTTTAATCCACGACTTTGTAAGCATTTTTAGGGTGAAAAAATGGACTTTTTTTTTCCTAAGGCCACAACTTTTGAAAAAATTAATTAAAAAAAAAATCGGAATACGTATTTATAACCCAAATTTCATTACTAATCAGGATTTTTATTCGATTTATGTTCCAGGATCACATGGAAAGGAGTATTTTCTCACGCCGTTTTCCGACTTCCGCGCGAGGACGCCCGCGCGACCTGGTGCACCGGCCACGGGGAGACGCCAATCGAGTTCAAAAAATACAAATTGTAGTTCGAAGGATGACTTATAAATGGGTTATAACATATTTGCCCTCCCTGAGTGTTTTATTGCTTAAAAAAATTAACGAAAATGCCTTAATTTTTGGACGTTCAAAGTGTACTACCCCCTTAAGCCAGATTCTAACGTAGGATTACGTCTATAATTTCTACCTATATGGGGGTACACTTTGTGAAAACAGAAAATGGAACATGTAACAAAATTATGAAAGATTTTGAACGTCAATAACTCAGCTGGCCCTGGACCAATTTCAATAATTTTATCGCCATTCGATCTCTGTTAAATTTAAGAGTTTATCATTTTTCAAAATGCCACTATTTAAAATTGCATGAATGTGCAACTGTTGCTTTGATATTTAAAAGTATCACCGATTGCCTACGAAAAGCGATTTCCCTAACACAGATTTCAAAGTTGAATTCTATCCGGTCCCACCAAACGGTGTTTATTCAATAACCGCGTGATGAGTGGTGGTGTTCTCCAGTACACACGAAAGGCTCCTCGCAAGCAGCTAGCTACCAAGACTGGCCTCAACTGTTGATCGGATTCAGTTCCAATCACCGTGTGTGGTGGTGTCGGCATCAGCTGCAGCAGCAGCAATGCTTTCGTCGCGTGGCGTTGAACATTGTTCTCCAGTACACAAAAAAGGCTGCCTGCTAGCAGTGCAGCCCACATGAGCATCCATAGAAGGAGGAAGAAGCCGCACCGCTATTGATCGCAATCAGTAGCTCTTCGTGAGTTGCTGTGGGCCCTCTATGTGAAGCGCGTCATACTAAAGAGTATAAAAAGAGAGAACCCCGCTCAAATTCCTATTCCTACACAAAACACAAGCTCCTACTGCAGTTAACAAAAAATATTTATTATATAAGACCACGTAGTCCTACGTCACCCATAGTGTTGTTCCTTGTAGTTTTTTTCTCTAAATTAAATATATGCACTACAAAATATGGCTGATCTCAAATTGCCGATAATAGAACAGCTGGTTAAGACGCAGTTTAAATGGAAAGGCTGCTCAAAAAAAAAAAGAGGCTGCCGAAAATAGTCACACTCACCTGAGAAGTTTGGCGCGCTGTAAACACGCTTTCAAACAGTTTTGCACAATTATGCCGATTGGAATGGATATAGAAACAAGCAGCAGATAAATTTAAACAAATAAACACGTAATTTGTGGGCGTTACATTGAGAAAATGCTAATAGAAGCATGGACACTGCTTAGATTGACGAAAATATGTAAATTCCCCTATATAGAATATTCCTGAATAGAAAATAGTTGAGTTTCTATGCAAAAAGATGCTTGTATTAATGTTAGAATTCATGTTACTGAATTTACTTTAGCATTTTTTTGAAACTCGTTTGGCAACATTCGCCTATGATTGCTACTAGGATACAAAATGGGATGAATATTTAGCTGATTAGATAGTGAAAGTTGTTTTAGTTAGTGAACACATAAAGTGCTGTATTCTTTATGGAAGTGATTGAAATAGGCTGAGATTTATATTTATTGTGATGATAGTGTGTTGTAGCCGAATAAAATGCAATGATTTTCCTTAGCATTTTTATACCGGAGAAAATGAAATACTGCTTAAATAAAAGGTGAGTTCATCAAGATAATTTGTCAGAACATGCTTTGAAATACTCATTTTTGATATATTTAAGCAAGATGTTTCCGCGGCAGACTCAAATACCGTGCCAGACTAAACGAAACGATACGTCACCTCTGTTTTCTGGAACGCCTGTGCCGTGGATATCCTGCACACCGGGATCGGTAACAGAAGTGGAACAGATCTCAACCACGCAGCAGAAACGGAACTCAACTGACAAAATGAGACTGCCTTTCTGGTACGGACAGATGCAACCACTGGCCTAAGCCAACACGCCTTTCAGCGTGATGCGGAAATGCGCGTTGTAAAGTCTACCCAGCTAACTCACTCAGGGCGGGTCTAACGATCGCGGGGCCAAACTCAAAAGACTCTCAAACCAAACAGTTAGATAGAGTTAAAAATAGGTAACTAGGGTTTTCGCAAGATGAAATCGACTTGTATTCACTGGCCTTGCCGTACATCTTTCTAGGTTACACATGTGTGGTTTTGAGTTAGAGGATTAGTAGTGTGTACATGTAAAGGTTTCTCGTTAATCTAATGTTCTAATCTGACCTTGGTACGCAACCTCAGTTGCTTACTGCTGACGATGGACGGCTACTCGGTGAACAATGGTGTTGTCGGTCGCTGATGGAGTACGGCTATATGGCCGATAGACGTAGACGCTGCCGAGCTTGCTTTCGGCCGGAGGACCGATCGACTGGAACGCCCGCGGCCTCGCTCGCGAGTTTGCTTCCGGATGGCTGATCGGTGAATAGTGGCTAGAACGCCCACTGTGCGACTAGAGTGCGTTCGGGTGACTGATCGGTGAGAATGCCCACAACCTTGCTGCCGAGGCTACGTTCGAACGGATGGCTTATTTACTGCCTATAGCTAGTGCACCCACTGCGCGTCTGTAACGCGACCAAATTTTCGATCGCAGGAAATGCCCGCCGTTTTACCGTCAAATTGGCTTTCAGCCGGATGGCCGTTCGATGAACGATAGCGTCGGTTGCCGATAACCCAGCGAATCCAAACACATAAAGGAACCAACGATACAGACAAAACGGTTGCTACGACTACCATGACAAACTTGCTCTGTAACATAGCTCGATCCGAGTGGTAGAAGGATAATGATATATTGCTTGCCTGCTTTGATACAATATACACGGATGAGGACATAGCTTGATATGAATCGAGAAAAGACATAACAAAAAAAATCCCATTAACACACGTGTATCATCTTCGGCTCTACTTCGTGAAGCAGCTTGCCAACAATTTGCTCGTTTCCTTCTACCGCCCCAAGTGAGTTGTGTCGCACGGGCTGCTTGTCATGAAAAAGAAGGAAGAAGATTATATCATTATTGCTTTGCACTTCTGGCATAGCGTTATTATTCGGTTAGTTGATCGCTTGTCATTTTGTCATTTGGAGATATTTTTGATTCCTTGCGTGTGCTTTCACACTTCACACTGCACGGAGAACTGGTTTGCAGCGGGCTAGCGCGATGGCGCCGGTGAATTATGGCTCGTAGGATAAGCTGAAGACGACGGCTCGTTGGGGTGATCACAAAACGTGGAGTTTGACCTATCCGGAATAAAAAACCTTCGTTCGAAGGTTTTGGCCTTCGAACCGAAACGCGAAATTACACAAAGCCAGCAAAATGAAAACCTAAATGTTTACCTCACTACACTTTTGTAATATCAGGCATAACATTTGATAACGGCACAAAAGCATTTGTAAACAAACTTTCTAAGGCCCTTTAAACGCGAACCAAAGTACGCTCACGCAAACCGAAAGTGGTATTGGTTTGCGTGGGCGTACTTTGGTTCGCGTGTAAAAGGCCTTAGAAAGTTTGTTTACAAATGCTTTTGTGCCGTCATCAAATGTTATGCCTATTGGGTTGTTACCAGTTCATTTTTGTTTGCTAATCTGGTTAAGATGTCTTACCTTCTTAAAGATAAATCATCCAGCTCAAACCTTTGTTTAGTAAGTAAGTAAAAGGTGGGTCCATCATCATCGCCATCATTTAAATTTTTGATTTATGGATATAATCTCGAAAAAAAAATCCGGCATCTGAATAAACCATCCATATCCGAGGTCTTATTATTTTATTTTATTTTTTAAACGAAGTAAAATTTTTGATATTCTGATAGAAATAAACATTTTAATTTAAGAGATAACTTGTATTCCATGCTATTGTCTTCGCCTGAATAAAAATGTTCTTACTGTAAACTTATGGTTCACCCTCATTAGATAATCGAAAACTTTCCTCACCAACCATTGAATGATTTTGAGAAAGTTTTCATCTCAAATGAATCCTCAATCAGAGTGTATGTTGAACTCACCACTCCCAAAGAGATGATCGCTTGACGCTTGCAGCTGTTGGTGACCCTCCAGTTCTGTTAACAAGGCCATTTACTTGTACTACTCTGAATTAATTTGTTCAAATTTGCAATTCCTTGTAGTCCGAACAATACGTTGAGCCCATCCAGATTATCTATATCGACAAATAACACCAACAACAAACGGCAGCTGCAGGAACTGACTCCCACGTTCGCTTTAATAAGGTTCCGCCGATGGCACTCGCTTGCTTGCTTGCCGGTTTGCTTTCTTGCTTGCGGTGTTGCAGAGTCAATATTTGAATAGTCCTGGGAAATTGAGCGAGCGACTCAATTCGGATCTCGCTATTTGCCTATGTTAATCGTTCGGCAGCATCCCCCGACAGCGGTGTTCCCCTCGCTTGTTGTTCGTATTTTACCTGCTTGGATGGAACCAACAATACCTCTCGGCACGATGGCACGTGGCCAGATAAAAGCTTCCCATGATGATGGCGGTGTCCCCTAGCTCACAATATACTTTTAGCTGGGAAATGAAAATTGTTTGTCTTCGAAACGTACTTTATGAGAAATAAGGCAGCTCCTGGTATTCTTCATGAATTAGGTTTCTACGAAACAGATAGCGCAAGGTCCAGCCGGAATAATATTCAATTTACCTACAGGTCCGAGTGATGAATGTCAGGTGCGCGATTGGCATCACTTGTCACGCAAATATTGCTTTATATTATTTTTCCGACTCGAAATATGCATACATACACGTCAATCCAGGAGAAGCCTGTCTGACAAGTAGGTTTTTGGTATCAAGCAGATCTTGGAAGCGAAATTATATTTTCCTCTCTTCCAACGTCAATCAAAGCCCTGAACCCGGACACGCGACGCTGCTAAAAAAGAAATAATAAATATACACGAAAAACTTCCCTATTCTGGCGGAGGGAAGCTTTCGAAGCATCATTCTTTCCCGAAAACCTGCACACTTGCCACGCTGTCAGTGAGTGGAGATTTTTCCTTTCAATAAACGATGGAGTTTGTAAAGAAATTTCAACTTTTTTGCATATTGCTACCGGCATCCCCGTAGGTGGCATCTGGAATATGGAAGCAACAAAGGGATGGCTTCAAAAAAAAACGTATCCATGACAAGACATCAATGAATTTAAAATACCACAATTTCATAAACATACAAAACTCAAAACTTTAAGCTGTATAATCAATATCCTCTGTATACATGAAACAATAATCGAATGATCGATGTTGATAAAATTTCATAGAGTAAAGTTTTTATCCAACACAGTCCTTAAAGAGTGGAAACGAAATTCATCCTTGATACGCCGTCAGATATTGAATATTTTGTATACGCCATAAACCATCTCTTCCGTGTCCAGACCAACGAGTTTGACGTGGAAGAGAAAATCTCCCTATTCAATACAGTGAAATATTCACCTCCCCCATCCTGTTATCTGTCTGCGAAGGGAAAATCTATTGGCAAACTAAACTCCTCTTTTTTGCCTTAATCCGAAAACGTTTTCAGGTGTGTTGAACAGGTTAGATTAACGTTCAAACTTTTTTGTTGGTTACCTGTTCCTTCAAGGATTAAGCAGCATGAAATATTTATTTGAACTGCTCTCCCGAAAAACCTTTCCATTCGAAATCGATTGGAAGTTATCTTTCCATATTTTTTTCCCCATTCTAAAAATAAAGCAATTTCTCCGGTGCAACTCCATCAAAAACAATTCCCCAGTGCGATGTCAAAATTCATGACCTAAAGACAATAAGCAGAGCATGCATTCCCGACAACGACGATGCCGCGAAAGTGTGACACATTTCGTTTCCCTCCCTGATTCTAAAGCGCCCGCTGTCACCAGACTTTTATCACATTTTCGCGCATTGTCCCCCTGTCAGCTCCCGTTCAGCCGGGGCGAACCCATCGTGTTCCGCTTGGGATCATTTGCATACATATGAAAAAATCATATTCTCCGCTTTTCACCAGTGCACAAGTGGCAGCAGGGTTTGGGCTGTTTTGGCGAAACTTGTCTGAAGAGTCGATTTGTACTGGAAAATATGAGTGCTCGGCACATCGTATGTGCTTTCATTGTAGCTTTAGCGGTGATGCGAGGCCATGTTCATGTTCAATGTTTCACAATTGTTTTTAGATTGTGAGGAGCATGAAGTTTGTGTTTGAACTGGAACGGTGCCATACCAGTTATTTTTTTTTTCTGGAGGGAAATGTTAGCAGATGTGCCGGGTCCTGGACCAACTCCAATTTATACAGTTTAACCTATTACAAACGTTTAAGAAGTCAAACGATAAGTAATTCATACATGCGATAAAAGTGTACTGGTACATTCCGGGTGTTTCGTTTTGAAAAAAATAGTTAGATTTCTTAAAGATCACCCTCTGGTTTGATTCATAACACCAAAATATGGATCTGTGTAAAAAATGGTAGAGATTGATTTTTTTTTTTGACGTAGAACTACGTCTTTGATTTCTATATGGGGTTACACTTTGTGAAAACCGAAAATGGAACATGTAACAAATTAAGAAAGATTTTGAACGTTAATAACTCAGCTGCCCCTGGTTTAATTTCAATAATTTTATCACCAATCAATCAGAAATATGGCTACGCATCTATAACAATGCTTCCGGATGTTGATTTTCAACAAGAAACTATTGAAAAACTGGTAAATGTCCAGCATTATCCAAACGCGTCGAATTAACTAACAAATCCACCAATTACCTATATGCATATGCTGCTTCCCCAGCACAGTCGTCAGAGAGTAGTAAGTAGACGAAACAAGTCGATGTGGCATTCGCCTCCGATCCTCGGGTGCGTGCGAATAGGGAGGATGTAATTGCGTAATATTTGCACACTCATCGCCATATTCAGAACCAAACTTATTTCTTCAAGATAACCACCATCCGTCGTCTGGCTCGCCGTAGCGGTGTCTGTCGTATCTCCGGTTTGATTTACGAGGCGTGCTGAAGGTGTTCTTGAAAAATGAGATCCGTGATGCTGTCACCTACACTAAACACGCAAAGTGTAAGCGGCCATGGCTGTCATCTACGTTTTTGAAGTGACAGAGATGCACTCTGTTTGGTTTCGTAGGTTAAATCATTACCAACTTTGGAAACAAAACGGCTCTTTACAGGGCCACCAAGCTTATTACAGTAAAGAGTAGGAATAGAATTCATCTGCCTGTTTGTCCATATTCAGAACCAACGACCACACAAAATGCTCATGTAATCAAACTGGAAGCAGGGGTACAAATTATTTTGATCAACCTTGGTCAACTTTGAATCGCCACGGCCGGATATTTTCGATGGAAGAAGCAACAATCGAGCATCTAATTCGACGAAGATGGCAGGAAACATTTCTGGATCAGCAACAGAAAAGGGCCCATAAGCATTTGTAAACAAACAGTTCCAAAGCCCATTCC